TGTTATGATTCAATCCGCGAGTCCCTTCTACACCTTTGCTGCTACTACGGGTAGGCAAAAACTTTTCAGGTAACTAAATTGAATAGTGCTAGAGAAGTGGGAATTGCCTTACCACTTTCAGCTAAATCAGCACTGCTTGGACAACGACTTCCTCACGTGAGCTAGCCTTGGACTCGCGGCCACCTTCCGTCAGGAGTCCAGGACCGTTATCGAACGGTTCACATATCTCTGCCATGAGAGAGCGTACAGAGAGCCTGAAACAGGAATACCGCTGTTTCTGCTGCGCAATGGAGTTTCGGGAAAACGCCCCAGACAGCAGTAGTTATCCTTTTCCTTTTATACAACAAGGATGACAGTCTCAGAAAAATTCCTACCTGATAGGCTCCCGCTTTATAAGCGATGTGAGCATTAAGGAAGGCGCTGTAAATACAATCCTTTTCATGGCCACCTGTTCCCTTGTCCAGTGTTGTGGCACTCAATAATAAGCCTGCCTCAACCTCCTCCTCTTCGCTGAAATCGAGGTACGCGCCCTGGAACAAACAACCTGTGAGCTCTCTGAGAATAATGACTTGGTCTTTCACTGATGTCTCGAAAAAAATTCCGAGAAAAGATGCCCACAAAAGAAAAAAAAGGATCAATTGGCAGAAGATTCATCATATGTCAAATAAACTAAACTAAAAATCAATAGACGCTATTGAGATAACGCTTTGAGTGAAGTAAACAAGAACTACGTTTGAGCTTTCACACACACAAGTGAAAATTGAACAGCTGACGGAATGTCGCTATGCAACAACGAGCAAAATTATTGCAGCGCAGAGTACATAAGTCGATGGCTGGCAAGTGCACAATGGACACACATTTGCTTCCTCTTCTTCCCTTACAAAGAAGATAACTTTATCGAGTAGGACTTTACCTGCAGAATATAGAGGACAATACGAGCACTAGCGAGTCGCACATCAGGTTCAGCGCTTTCCATTCTTGCGCAAAGATCTTGCATAATAAACATCTTCTTCGCTTCTGGTAGAGATGAGAAGTGGAATGGAGCCAGAATCTTAAGCAATACATTAAAGAGGGAAGCCTAAACACATGAAGCCGCGATTTGTGATGTAGTTAGTTACTTTATTTTGTTTGTGGAAACGAACAATTTCAAATTGTGGATTCACATGAAGGGAGGCAGCAAGTTCTAGCCATCACAGCACTCTAGCCGATGTCGAACTTTGACCTGTAGCGATTTGGAGCGATTAATCGCGCCAATTGTGGGAACCGCTTGAGCCAGTCGCTTCGGTCACAAAGTCTGACATCCAGAGCAGACTTGGATAAAGGCTTTATAATGGCAATGATGGGGTGCCGGAAAGGTGAAGGAGAAGGGGATTTGGGTGAAAAACAGGCAATGTTTTTTTTTCATTCAACTTTTGCACTTCAAAAAATTCACCTTTCAAGGAAACCCTCGGATTGTCCGTAATTAATGCAGAGGAGTAATGTGGGCGTTAAAAAACTTCTTTTGATAAAACGACTTACCCCATTATTGTCAGCATACACCTTCCAACACTGGATGTTGCTGGCAAAATCGTCCAGTTCAGAATAGGTGTAAAGCTCCGATAGTTCACTAAGAAGTGTGTCACAGTCGTTGTACTCGAACTCAATATCGGACTCGCTCTGTAAAGTTACCAACTGATTCGAGATGAGCGATCAAATCACAAAAAAAAACATCGAGCTAGAGGCAGTCACAATTGTTCGCTTTCCTGGACTGCCTGTTCACTGCTCTGCATGTCATCACACTAGCATTGAAAAATAAAGACAGCTGGTTATCAACTGTGTGCCTTTTAATCCTCAAAATCAGTTCAGAAGCCAAAGAAGAGAGACCCGCAACTCGCTCGCCCAGAAAGCTCAAACAAAGGATCCGAATCATCACATATTATTGTGGTGTTTCTGCACCCGCCCTTGTAGGGCTGCGGCCTCGTAGTAGGGTTATCTTTGAGGCACTAACCTTATGGCTCATGGCAAAGCTCTTTGTTACTTCCATGTCTGTACATAAATCCAACTGATCAACCTAGTGTATGACCCAGAGTTCAAACAATACTCAAGGGATCTTTTGAACATGCCCTCTCTCGTTTTTGTCTCTCACAAATTGGTTAAGTCAGTCGTTAACATATCATTAATTGCTGTAACACAACTGAGGACGACTGCTGCCCTTTTCGCGACTGATAGTATTTCTATTTGAATATACTCCGTATACCTTATGAGCGCGTCCACTGGACGTATGAAAATAAATAAATAAATAAATGGGGATGATTCGAGCTAGAGGCAGTCACAATTGTTCGCTTCCCTGGACTGCCTGTTCACTGCTCTGCGCATGCCATCACACTAGCATTAGAAATTCTCGACAGCTGTGCTTCACTGCGTTTCTTTCAATCCCAAAATCAGTTCAAAGCCCAAAGAAGAGAGAGCCTCAACTTCGCTCCCCAAAAACTCAAAGAAAGGGTTCGAATCACCACTTATTATTGTGACTATTTTGAACTCGTGATGATGTAGTATAAGAGGCGCCACTAATTAGCGCACGGTCAAAGGTTCAAATCCTTGATGGAATGCCAGCCAGCCAAACCAGGCCTTCCATCGTCGCCGATTAATTCCATTCCCGTGGTGATGGTACCTATAGGCTAAATCACATTCAAGGGCAACATTGGTCCGAATAAAAAAAGAATGCGTGGCACATCTCAGAGGAATACCGATAACTGCTGAATTCTTTGGCTTTACTTTATTACTATTCACCCCACCAGCCCATAATTGTGATTTTTTTTACAGAGCCTTGTAAACTTATTCGATATTCGACTTGCCCCCCCCCCTTGCAACTTAAATTGGTAACTTTGGCCCTGCATGAATATGTATTTAACACCGTGAACTAAGGCAACTGCTTAACAAAAAACGAAGGGGGAGGGGTAAAAAGTTACTCATTTTTGAAAGGTAGCCATGCCACAGCAATGCAACGAGCTAAGTAAATGGACACCACCTCTTTAGGAAAGCTGCAACGAAATGTGAGAGAAACAAACTATACAAAATTTTGTTTCTATTCATTTTCAGCGCACTCCCAATATCGATTGACAAAATAAACAATGTACGAAGGGAGACGAACAAGTGAAGATTACCCTAATTTCCGGTAGATAAGCCCGCGCCGATATCACGTAAAAACACCTCCGCTCGTGCAGTGTAATTTTGTACACCTTAGAAACTACCGTAAATTTGCCTATAGAGGTAATTCGATGCCCTGATTACGAAAATGACTTTCATTTTTAGCGGTGGCGCCATCTGGCGCCAGTTGGCGTCACCTTGTCACGACCCTTGTTTTCACCAAATCGGTGTAAACTTCCGTATAGGGGTTATTTGG